TTATCACCGACAATGGCTCGAATCTGAATAACAAGATGATGACATAACTTTGTGAAGAATTCAAGATTTTCCATCACAATTCATCTCCCTACAGGCCAAAGATGAATGGGGATGTTGAAGCTGCTAATAAAAACATCAAGAAGATCATCCAGAAAATGGTTATTACTTACAAAGATTGGCATAAAATGCCCCCTTTTGCTTTGCATGGGTATCGTACATTTGTTGGCACTTCAACAGGGGCAACCCCATTCTCCCTTGTGTATGGTATGGAAGCAGTGCTCCCCGTCGAGGTTGATATTCCCTCCTTACGTGTGATAATGGAAACTAAGTTATTAGAGGCTGAATGGGTCAAGAACAGGTTTGACCAATTTAATTTGATTGAAGAAAAGAGAATTCCAGCTTTGTGTCATGGTCAATTACATCATAAGAGAATGAAGAAAGCTTTTGATAAGAAGGTCAAGCCTCGTGAATTCAGATAAGGAGACCTCGTTCTCAGGAAGATCATGTCTTTTAACGCTGATTCTAGGGGAAAGTGGACTCCCAATTTTGAAGGCCCATATGTTGTCAAGAAAGCCTTCTCTGGCGGTGCATTGATTCTTGAAACTATGGATGGCAAGGAGTTCCCACGTCCTATGAATGTTGACGTAGTCAAGAAATACTCCGCCTAAATAGATAAAAGAACAGCTCGCTAAGAAGAAAACCCGAAAGGGTGGATTAGGTAAAAAGGAGAGTCTTAGTAGGCCGAAAACCCGAAAGGGAGGTCTAGGCAAAAATTAGAGACATAAACATAATAGATTTTCCCGGTAGTTTTAAAACCCGCGAGGGCAATCTAGGCAAAAGATAGGGATTTCCTGGCAAGTAACTGCATCAGACAAGACTTGATCATTGAAGCAAAAATCTTCTTGGATCCTCACCACACTTCAACAGAAGTCGCTGTTCAGGAATTCAAAGTTGCTAGGGAGAATAGTGGTCATGGTATTTCAATGTATCTTTTCCAATGTATTACCATTTTCCAAACTTTGTAATCATCTATGGAGTCTCGCCATTTGCAGACTACCATTCTATTAATAAAGTTTGAGCTTTTATCCAATTCTTTACAATTCTTATTTTATTATGCTTACAAAGACTCCATTTATTGTTGATAGTAATTTTCAAAATAAAAAGATTGAATAACAAAATTGTTTTTTGAAAAGAATTTACAAATTACTTCTTACTTTAGATTTTATGACTCAAGGAAAACAAAAATAGTGATTCTAAGGATAAATGAACTCTGAAATTTTAGAAGTATGTATTCCCCAAGAAGGTTCTCCCAGGTCACTTTTGCTAGTATGCATATGATTTTCTTGTGTTTCTCAGATAGTTGGACATGATACCAATTGATGTATGGTGCGGTATTTGATTTATAATCCCATTTTCCCCAATCAAGTCTTGGTCCAGTTTTTCTCTAAGTTGATTATTTTTTATTTCGGGTTTTGCATGGTCTAGAGCCTCTATCCAAGATTCCCCGGTAAGGTCTTCGCACATATGACGAAAGTCCCTTCTCCCGTTTTGTGCTGAGGTGGAATCATTTGCAAAACACCGCCCTTTGTAGTGTTTGCATTGTTATTGTTGTTTGTTTCCCAAGCAACTAGACGAGGGCAATATCTTTTCTAAGAAGTGTTGAAACAATTGTAAACTTTTTGGGTTTTCTTCTGCCAGATGCTGGGTTTGATTTAAAATCCCTATAATTTTGATTTCTTGTTGTATTTTTTGACTTCTTAAAATCCCCAAGTAAATTTGAGATAATGTTTCTCTATGAAAGTATTCATCCCCAGATGGTTTCATGATTTCTCCCCAGAGAAGTTTGTGTAATCATTACTCTTGGTATTAAAGAATGTGTTTTGGGCTCCCCTTGATGATATGGTATTGTCCTCCCAATAAATTCAGCGCGAGATACCCAGTTGATATCTCGACGATGTGGTTTTCATCTGCCCTAAAGAAGTTAGCATTATAATCTCCACTGGAAATCTAGATGTTGAGACACTTGTTTCCCCATTGAAGTCTGTGTGATGTTCCCTGGTGAATCCTGAAGGAGGATGTATATCCCTGTATTTATACTGATTTACTATTTTGACTTGATTACTTTTGGATTATGTTTCTTCTCAGTGAAGTTAGGCCGTGGAATAGGAATTTGTTTCCTCAGTTGGTGCTTACTTTCTTATGGAATTTTCATCCTAGATGTAATTTAGCCGAGTGTTGGCTTTACCCAAGCTGGCTTTGTCTGTTTTATCCCCAGTGTTGTGTGTCTGTTTTGTCAACATATACATGATAACATTCATACATACATCATGCATATCTGAATTAAAGTTCATTACTCATTTGCATTCATTATTGTTTTTGTTGGCGTGTTAACCTATTTTGCAGAGTTATATTACCCTATCTCCAATAGAGTGTTAACCTTAAACAGAAAGTGCATATCCTTTCAATTTCCCCACTGAGCTATCCCTCATGGAAGAATTTTGTTTTAGTCTTCCTATTTATCTGAATGGAACGTGTTTCCCTTTTGAGTTTATCTCTCATCAGGTGCTATCTTGGTTGATTGTTTCACTCCGGTTTATTTCTGGTTTGCTATTTTGAGTTTAGCACGTGAAGACTTTACCTCCTCAACAGGAATATATTGGTGTTTCCCTAGGGACACAAAAAATTATTTCTCAGCAACATTGTTGCATTTCTTTCTCATAACAACAAGTGGCAGGTCTCTTTATTTTAGCAACCTGTTCCTCCCCCAGTAAGTATGTTAGTTCCCAGAGAAGATTTATTTTGTTACTCTAATGGATGGTAGTCTCATCATTATGGGAGATAGTTAGTTATTAAGATTTGTTACTCCAATGGATGGTAGTCTCGTCATTATGGAAGATAGTTCATTGTTGAGATTTTGTTACTCCAATGGATGGTAGTCTTGTCATTATGAGAGATAGTTCGTTGTTGAGATATGTTACTCTAATGGACGGTGGTCTCGTCATTATGGGAGATATTTTGTTGTTGAGATTTTGTTACTCCAATGGATGGTAGTATCGTCATTATGGGAGATAGTTCATTGTTGAGATGTTTACTCTAATGGATGGTAGTCTCGTCATTATGGGAGATAGTTCATTGTTGAGACTTTGTTACTCCAATGGATGGTAGTCTCGTCATTATGGGAGATAGTTTGTTGTTGAGATGTTTACTCTAATGGATGGTAGTCTCTTCATTATGAGAGGTAGTTCATTGTTGAGATGTTTACTCCAATGGATGGTAGTCTCGTCATTATGACATATAGTTCGTTGTTGAGATTTTTTTACCCCAAAAACCTATGTCTCTGAGTGGTGATCTATAATCTTAGGTACACTATTTTGAAATTTCAATCAGCTTGGTCAAGGAGAGCTTGGTTGCTTAATTCTCAATATTCTTTGAGATAGGTTCATGTGTTTATTTCCATGTCTTCTTCGACGTCTCAAGTTCATATGTGACTAATAGTGCCTCGAGTTGTTGAAGAAAGACAAAGTCTGCAGTTAATTCAAAGTTGGTTGATTGAAAGTAAATGTTTGCAAGTTCGAGTTCAAATAATCATAACTTATTCATTATTCATTATTTTATTTTTGGCCGATTCTTCGAGCATATGAATCTCCTTGACGTCATCTCCAACTTCCTTTTACAAGTCAAGAGCTAATTATGTATAGAAGACCATCAAAAGTCCGAGTACATTAGGAGTCGTTTTGTGGACTTTGGTTTATTTTCAAGTGACTTTCATCTAACTTATGAGGATCATAATTATTTCAATTTTCCTCATTTTGGGATGGTTCTTTTTGCATGGTGTCACCAATGGCGTTTTATAGAAGATTGCTTAAATGAGCAAGAGCAAGTTGTGCTCACAAGGACATGAATTTTATGGGAACGCTTTAGGTTATTTTTTCTTTACCTATAATGTTATTAAACTCTAAATTCCAATTCATATTACCAATTTTCCAATGCCATGATTCTTTGCCTCAAAGTCTTATTTGTGCGTTGAGATTATTTATCATCAAGTAAAGATCCATGGTACAAGATTGTTGTATTTTTGGAATTATAGGCCATTATGGAAAAGTTTTGGTTAATCCAAGTCCATGGGTTCAAGATATAATTCAAGTTTTATTTTCAAGATCAAGAGATGGAAAGAAAAGTTTATGGTCATATGTACAAGAAAAAGAAATTACAAGGAATTAATTTTGGTGTAAGGCATTATTCAAAAACCCATTCATTCTTACTCAAGCGTCATTGGAAATTTTCAATAAACGAACTCAAGATCATTACCCCAAATTCATGATTCAAGGTATTCTTGTGCAACATCATTCGATTTCCCAAATTCATGATTCAAGGTATTCTTGTGCAACATCATTCGATTTTTCAAGATTGCTTAAGTTTCAAATCCTTATTCAAAATTCAACTTCTCAAGGCATTCCTCAAGAAAATTCAAGATCTCTTTGACCTTATCATTGAAAGAGTCATCGTGCTACAAGAGGCTTATTTCGTGATGTTCAAGAGATTCAAGCTTCAAATTTAAAAGGTGGAGAGAAATTCTTTTGCTTTCAAGAGCTCACAAGAATCTATGAATTCCACCGCTGCTAAGGAAGAAAATCTCATTCAACTCAAGGCTTTAGTTCAAATTTTAAAGTTACTAATTAAAACAAAAGAGCCAATTTCTAATGCTTACGCCATTCTATTCATCACCTCAAAATTCTATGAAGGTTTAAAAAAAAAGAAGTTCAAAAGGTTGCCAATAACATTCAAGTTGCAACATTTCTTCATAAAGAATATAAACTCTTTTGCAAATTTCCAAATTCACCATTCATGTTACAAGAAAGTTCAAGTTCTATATGGCTTAAATTCTAGTTACAACATCAAAAAATACAAATATTCCATGTTTTCCACACCTAAGCTTCTATGAATATCACAAGACTTTGAGTTGCTTCAAGCTTCTACCCCATTGCTCAAGCAATTCTTCCATGCCTTCAATATTTGCTACGGCTCGCATTATCCTCAAGTCTTCAACTCACACCCTTTGTAACCATGCTCTTGACAACCCACTCAACACATGAAAAGAAAGAAAAAGATGGTATGTTAGCACATCAGTTCAGTCAGAAACGAAACAAAATTCACACAAACTAGCAAGATTTGAACTTGTTTTGTAGATCTACTAAATTTCATAAACCTTTTCGAAAAACTTATTGCGGATTTGAGGCGAGGAAGAGAATACGAACAACAAAATGTAAAAAAAATTACGTTTCGGATTACTCACGGTGGCGCTGCTGCGAGCCCTCGCCGGGAACCACCGCGAGTTCATCTTCTTTGACCTCCTTCTTTTCCGGCTGGTCTCTCTTTCTCTCTCTACTCGTTTCTTTCTTCTGATATTCTGTTTAACAAAACAACTAACTTATGTGGAGATATGAAAGGAGAGAGGAAATAGTACAATTGGTATATTGAAAATTAATTGTTGTTGTTGTTTTGATAACATAAACAACCTTGTTTAATGAATTTTTCTCGTTTCATTTCCTCCCCCCACCTCGGTATCCGTGCTGTCTGTTGGGAGGATAGGTCCCTCTAACACTTGTCCTCGTTTGAGAAGAAGAAGTGCATTTTGATATCATGCGCGTGTACTCATTGTACTTACAGTGTACTTTTAATCTAGATCTTTGATCCTACATAAAATCAGCTAGTTGACTTGATCAATGGTTCACAGTTTTTTTCTGTTTCATTTTATTTTATCAATTTCGTTTTAATTAGTTTAAAACTTCAAAAATTCATTTTATATTCAATTTTCGTCCAAAAATTCTGAAACAATTTACAAAATTCATTTATCTTATTTCTGACTCAGTGTATGTTTTCTGGAATTTTATTTTTATTTTTCTATTTTAAACTATATTTCACTTGTTTGAGTGGTTTTAATTAATTTAAAAATACTTTTATTTTTTCAAAAATTATCAAAAAATTAGTAAAATTATTTGAGTTTATTTCTGACTTTTATTTGGTTTGTTTTAATTTTTCTTTGATATTTTGAATATAGTTTGTTATTTTGTCTTTTATTTCTATTTAAAAAAACAATTTAAAATTAATCTTCTCATTCTATTTTGATTGTTTAATGCCATTTTATTTTTGTATATATTCTGGCCAATCTTGGACTATGTGAAATTTTAATCATGAACTTTATTAACATCATAGGATCTATGGTGTTAAGTTTAACTCCATAAAAAATGGATGAATGATTTTAATAATAGTTTGATTAAATTCTTTGGTTCAAATGTGAAATTTAATTCTTGTTCATCCCCTCCTTTTTCATCTCACCCTCTTCTCTCTTGTGCTACATGTTATTGGATAATAATCTACATATTATTTCTCCAAACATATGGTACCTAGATTGCTATTGACCGACCTTAAAATAGGTGCGACTTCTATATAAGTCCACTTATGATTGCTTAACATAGAGCTAAATTTTGTCCCGATTATAGAAATGATCATTTGTGGCCCAAACCTATGTTTTCAAGCCCAAGTATTTTTAATTTGAAACATTTGATCCAATAACCTTGAGATTCATTGTTAGGAGGCTTTGATCTTATCAATCTCTAATGAATCATCATAAATGTTGGACTAAGTGAATCATTTAAACACTGTTGATCATTTATTGTCGCCTCGAGATTTTAAAATGAATGATATACTTGACAAACAACAATTGAAACTTGTTATTGAGAGGCTTTGATTTTATCAATCTTCTAACGAGTTTTCAAATACAAGTTTTAAGATGGTCATTCAACTAACCTCTAACCTCTAACTCATTAACAACTAACTTTTTAAATTATGCTTTTACTTTACGCCTTTACTTTTACACATCATTTATTTTAGCATTTACATTTCATGTTATTTTCATCCTTGCTCACTTGAGCTTTCATTTTGTTTTTGAATATACCTAATAACCAACTTGAACCATAAAAAACTTTAATGTTACCTAGACTATTTGGTTACTATCCTTGGCATTTTGGAGATTGTGGATCTTGCGAAACTTAGGGGTAGAGACCTTGACCACCTTTGGGACCATGTGACTTCTATTGTTATTTTGTCTGGAATTCTTAGGATTTACCCCAAGACATTGGGTTGTTTGTTTCCTTTGTGTGCAGGTTATTTTGATTATATGCTTCGTCAGTGACTGAGAATTCATCTGTATACAGTCGTTACTCTCCCCAATTTTTGTGAAGACTTAATGCCTTTGAAGCCTAGTATTTTCTTAGAGAGGTTTATTATCTTTGCTTGTTTAGTTCCAATCCGAAGGATTGAAATTCTACATTGACTCATTGTGTCAAGTGTTAGCTTCTTGTTGGTTAGAAGATTCTTTTTTCCTAGATTTTACCTTATGCTTTAGGATAGTCCCTTCATCTCCTCACACCTTCTTTAATTTCAAAAATCTTTTCCCTCCTTTCAAAAACTATTTTTGTTTTCTAAACTTGAACCTCTTTCACAATAAACTTGGACTTAGGTCCCTGTATCATATTTTCTTAATCAAACTTTAAACAACTTAACAATACTTTAACATTTTTGTGAGAAGACTAAAAGTCAATCAATCTCATTCAAACCATTTTGCCACTTTGGCTTTTTACCTTAAAGTTTTCTCAAGAGATTAGACTCTTGTCAATTCTTGTAGTGATGCGAACTACTATACTTCTACGATATGTAGTGAAGTGAGATATTTTCCACTTGGGTGTTGAGTGAGGCTTTGTTGATTTTGAAATCTAAGCCATACCCTCCATTTTCAGATGATGCAAATTCTCCTTTCTCATAATTGTGGGTAGTAAGTATGTTTTCCGCTCGGATACGACAATGATGTCTCATCTCTTAAAATTAACCAACACACTTGTGTTTTTTTTAAAAAAAGGAGAACTACGAGTACCCTGATCCCCTATTGCACAGAAGATGGTACGTAGGCACTAAAGGTTCACAACCGCGGCGGGTGCAAAAATTGTAAAAAATATTTCTTTTCTCATCCCCACAATCTATTTTTGTATACAACATTTATAACCAAAATGCACAGATTTTCAAAGAGGTTCCCGCGGAGTACCATAGATGTTTAGGGTGCTAATACCTTCCCTTTGCATGACCAACCTCCGAACTTAGATTCTCTCCCCCTCTTTTTGGGTTATTCGCTCTTTTCCCATTCCTTTGGAAACAATAAAGCACGGTGGCGATTTTTATTTGATCTATGCGAGTCAAGTCAATCTAATGGCTTAGTCTCAACATTTCTACTACTATAGTGCCAAATAAGAATTATATTGATACTATATATAAAAAGCTGCATCCTAATCTTCCCAAGTATGAATATTGGTCCCTTCTAGTTGATAGAACCATTCCAACTGTGTTCCATACAAGCTCTCTTGGAAGAAATGAACCCACAATTTCTTGTCAGCAGTGTGTGGTTGAATTTTCCAAACATATGATCTCAAATGCAACTTTGGGAAAGAAACACCGTCATACTTGGAAAAGGTAGGAGTTTTGAACTTAGGAGAAATGACGACTCTTGAGACTAAAACCAATTCTTCAAAGTTCAAGCCAGGCATCTTCTGTATCTCCATAGATTTCAGATGCTCTTTTAACAGCTTATACTTCTCATCAGCAGGGGGTATTGTTCATCCAAAAAATCCTCTTCCTCTTCATCAGGAAAGTTGTCAGAACCAAGTCCGTTTCTCTCAATTTTAACCTTTTTACCATCTTCACCTTGGTTGTCATCTTCGTCTGATGGGATATCAAAATCTTGAGCTCTCTTGACCATACCTCTGAACCTCCTTCCCATGTTAAGGATGCCAATTTGTTTCTTTGTTTTATTCTTCTTCTCTTTGGTGATGAGCGCCTTTAGTTCTTCTTTCCCCTTAGCTAAGTTCAGGAACATCTCTTGGAACTGAGCATTCTGAGCCTGGAGATCTTTGACTGTTTGTTCAAGAGACATATTTTCTACTGAAATAAACAACAAGAAGATGAGAAAATCTCTCTTGGAAACCTGTTATGTAATTATATGTATGGTATGTAGATGTATATGCAATGTTTTAAAGGAACTCGCAGAATTAAAAAATTTGAAATATGAATCTGGTTGCAGCTCTGTCTGAAGAACTTTGTGTCTTTGTTTTTTACTATCCTTCTATAAGATCAAGCTCACCATATCAAGCGGGTCCTAGCTTCTGACTTAAGAGAATATACTTTTGATCTTGACAATATCTGGCTAGAGGAAAATAAATCCTCTTGCCCCTTGCTAGGAATCTGGTTTATGATAATCCTGCACCAAAGTCCATAAGATCCTTGAAATGGTTAGTAAAAAAATACCATGTCATGATGATATGATGTTATGACGTCATGTTTAAACAAGTAGAAAACACAAACAAATCACACAAGAGCCTTAGGTTTAAAGGCTTGCATGAAGTCCATAGGTAAGTACCCTTCCCCATTAAACGACTTATTAGCCGATTCATATGATATCTAATCATATAAATGGTTAGTGTTGCTATCCACGCTAAGTAAATTTATGATACTGGTGTAAATTCAGGTCAACTAGCATCTTTTCAATTTTATACGTGAATAAACATAAAGAAAAGGAAGTTTTCCAATCATTAACTCAAATCCATTGTCGAACCGAATAACACTGAGTGGAATATGGAGGTACTTATGGAAGAACGGGCCGATCTAGTCTTTCACAATAACGTGATAGGTGGAACTGCCATTAAACGTGTAAGTGTTTAGGTATTGGCATGTGTTTTTGGTAAAACCAGGTGTGTGAATGTCATGACTGATGTCATAACATTCTGGTTTATTAGGTACCTTTGCAGAAAAATAATGGCATACAGTTGCTGCTGTTTATGAGTGTGTATCTGAGCATTTTGCAAATGATCACATTTATTGCCTTCTACCAAAATCAGTAAACAAGAATTCTGATGTCATAACAAATGTTAAGACATCCTGTTCTGATCTAACAGTTATGCAGTTTGGTTAATTCTGAGATTTTTCAGGAAGTTGGCTCATTCCTTCCAGAACAGAATCTCACGTGGACTTTAGGTTAACCTAGCTCAACCCTAATCTGGTTGATAAAGTCTTGTGACCAAGTCTTAAGGTTAAACCAAATTAACCCTAGCTTTTTGTGGAAACCCTAACTGAAGAAACATCTGCTATATATTCAACAGGACTGCTGTTTGGAATTCATCCCTTTGACAGAAGATCTATTAGGAGCTGTATAGTTTTAACTGCTGTAATCCAAGCAAGTATCATTGTGATAAGTGACTTGGAATAGGTTTTGATTGTAAGGGTTTTGTATCACTCAAAGCTTTGAAGCAAGAGTGTTTGTGTCTCTTGACTAAAGCTTTGAAGCAAAGTCAAGTTAGGTT